TCGCCGGGCGGCCGAGTGAATGTTCGTGCTGGGGGAGGGGGAAGAGGCAGAAAAGAGCACTTAAATGGGAGAAGGGCGGCTTGTCCTGCAGCCCGTCGATGCCTGCAGTATGGCGTGGGTTGATTTTCCCTTCATACTGTAGGCAGTTTCGGTAGTGGGTGTAACGCTTTGCAGCGTTCCCTTCTGCAGCCAAGGGAGGGAAGTTACTGCCCGCGTGAAATCATTGGGGCGTTTGCGACTGAGTACTGTCAGCTCCCGAATGCAGCATGAAGATGGTTTTACAAATGTCTTAAAAACGTTACGAAACTCATCACGAGTGTTTTCCATCCGCTTTTTCATGTCTTGTATTATAAGAGTATAAAAACGTGTTATTTATAATAAAACTTAAGAAAAAGAGAACATTCAGTTTTAGAACAAAACTTGTGTAAGTGTTTTGACCCACACTCATTTTAAAAAATTAAATATGTTACAACAGGAGAAGGTGTGTAGAGTATAAAGATGGAGAAAACGAGATGTCAGTAAAATTGAGTTGATCTTTAGAAGGTTTCAACTTTGTCACAGTAAGTTTTCTGAAGGAGAGCTTAATTTGGTTAATGCTGTCTAGCCCCTTTCAGCAGTGAATGGAAAGTAGTATGCTAGGCTCCATTTGTGATTGTTTTTTGTTTTGTTTTTTTTTTTTAATTTTTGCTTTACAGTCTGAAATGAAATAATTTCAGAATGTTTTTTTTTCCATCCCAATGTAGATTGTGGGGTGACCATGGACAAGAAGCTTTAGAATCTGCCCATGTTTGTGTGATAAATGCAACAGCAACAGGAACTGAAATACTCAAAAACTTAGTGCTACCAGGTAAGTACATATCTGTATTTTCTTTGTAACATAACTGATAATTTCATAATGCCTAGTTATTAATAGTAATTTTTTTCACCCCAAGGTATTGGTTCATTTACAATTGTCGATGGGAATCGGGTCTCTGGAGAAGATGTTGGAAATAAGTAGGTTTCTTACTAGTTTCCAATACAAATTGAGAAGTAACAGTTTCATAAGTAGTTCCATCTCTATACTTGTTAAGAAATCCTGTAAAATTCTTAATAAAAAGCCTCCATATGTTCTCCAGGTCTTTTGTGTTTTGGATGTTTGTGACACATAACAGCATGCGTGATCATTTTCATATTAGCTGCTAAATTTTACATAGGTTTTTTTAGTTGCTGGTGTTGTATCTTTATTTTAAAATAACTTGTTTGCTGTAATCTTGAGACATGACAGTGTAAAATTTGCTTGTGTTTCAGTACAGCTAAATGCATTTTCCATAATTTTGGTGATGAAAATAGTTCACTTTTTGTTAGTTTACTATTGTGAAACTGTGATAGCAATTTATTAGCTTTTGTAGTTTTGAAAGGCTGAGTGCAGCAGGGGAAAGAATAAGAAAGTCTTTACAAATCTTATAAAAAAAAAAAGTTTACTAATTTTAATCACATTTTCTTATGGTTCAGATAGATTCCTACAAATACCTGTCTACTTACAGGGGTTATATGTGGGGGAAAGGTATTCCATTACATGAAGAAATGAGTACTAGTGGGTCTTTAATTCACCTAGTGAAAAAGAATCTTCAGTGTGATCCTGGCTTCTAGAGGAGATGGTGTGTCTTATTTTTCAGAGTTGTGGCTCAGACATTGGAAAGTTTCTTTAGGAAACTGATCATGAGGAGAATGCTATAGTGGTGGGGAGGAGAAAAGCAAATTTAAGGGAGAACTCAGTTTGCTGTGTATATGACGGTCAGCAACATATTCTGCACTTTTTTTGTAGTAGCTTTAATGTTGTTTTTCTTCAAAATAAAACTTCCCAGGTGACTCTCTCTTGTCTCCTTTTCAGTTTCTTTCTACAAAAAAGCCATATTGGTCAGGTAAGGAGATAAATGTCACTTCAGGTGTATTGAAAGCATGAAAGTATTGAGTAAATACTCAAATGTAGTATTATGAATAATGCTAAAATCATGTATGTATAGCTTGCTTATTCTCTGACAAAATTCCCCATGCTTGTTTTTTTTTTTGCTCGTAAGTGAGAAGATAAGCTTAATTTTGACTAGAAAAAATGAACAAAATATGGCTAAAATCTTTGCAATAATAAGGTAGAGTAGAATTGTGGTTTAAGGAGTAAAGCTAAGAGTAGAGGGGTGGGTGAGTGGGGGGGAAACCTAGCTATCAAATAACTTTTGTTTTTAAAACGCTGTTACTAAAAGTGGTCTCAAACAAGTACCTGCTGTTAAGGATTTTATTTTCATTTCAGATAAGCTAGGCTTGGAATATGAAATCCTAGCTTTTTTTTTCTTTAAGCATGTAGCATATGTAGTACTGATATGCTATATAAATTACATTTCAAGACATTAAACGTCGTTTTGATTGTTCTGCAACAGAATCGTGCCCAGAGTGCCACTGAGCTCTTGCAAGAGTTGAATGGTGATGTTTCGGGAAACTTTGTTGAAGAGGTTTGTTCTCTTAAATTAGTTGTACGCTTGTTGTTATACAGTGTGATAAAAGTATGAAATAATAACTGTGTGTTATCTTTGTAATGTTGCAGTTTAAGTAACTTCATGATAAAATACCATATGAGGAAGAAGGTCTTAAGTTATTTGCAAAAAGTCAATTTATGTATTTTAAACATTATTCTGTAACTTCGTCATAATTTTATAGCTTTCACTTAACACTTTACATTGAACGCTAAGCAGATTTGCTGTTTAGAAGTTTTCAATGTTTCCTGACATTTTTTTTCCTACTATTTAGAGTCCAGAAAAACTTCTAGACAATGACCCTTCCTTTTTTAATCGGTTTAACTTGGTGGTTGCAACACAGCTACCAGAAAGGTAAAGAATCATCTAAAGTTGTTTGTTTTCGTTCGGTAGTAAAGCAAGTTTCAATTGCAGGCATATTCCTGCAGGAAAGCTTAGGCAAAACAGAACTCTGTCATTGTGAAGGAAACTTACAGTCAATTATGGCGTTTTTATGTGGATGTTTTTATATGTTAATACATAGTTTAAAATATCTTTCAGATCCATGCCTGGCTCCTAGGTGCTGTCTGCAGGTGATTTGTCTTTCAGGCACTCTTTTGTAGTGAAAGTTGTTTCTGGTCCAAAATTGCTGTAACAAGTATTCTTATGTAAAACTTAACAGGATAAGAGGAGCTGTGGTACCTGTAGATTTTTGCAAATGTATTTTATCGTTTTTATAGGTCTTTCCATTTTACCTGTGTATGTAATTACATTGCCCATATAAACTTTGTCAAGACCAGAAGTTCTTGATTTTTATTTTTTTTTAACATCTTCCTGCTGAGAGGCCTCTCCTATGCTGCCTTTCAGTAAACAGCACATGAAAAATGACAACTCTCAGAGTATGGAGAGAACTGAAGGAGAAGAGCACGCTCCTGTTTCAGTAGACAGACTGCTTCCACAGGCAGTGGAAGAGAGTGCTGAATAGACCTACAGTTAAATCTTGCCTTTCTAAGGAAGTGGCTGTTCTTACTTTATGTATCTCTCCCTCCCCCTGCGTACAGAGGAGCTAGAGGTACTGTCTCTTACAGAAATAAGAGCCAATTTGTCTCTTTCAAATGATGGTTCCCTTGCAGGCTTTGGTGAATAAAGAGTATTATGTGCTATTCAAAAACTTCTGGTTGGAGTTGGCCCTACTGGAACTTATGTTTGTGCAACACACAGGTGTAATTCTTTTTTCTTTCTTTCATGACTCATTGAAGTGTTTTGTTTTTTTTTTTTAATTGATGTTCGGAGCATTTGAGAGGATACAGTTAAATATAAGTAAGCTAATGGATAAGTATATTTCTGACCTAGTGTAAATTAATGTATAAAATTAATTACCTTATACGTGCTTAGAATCATGGTAATGTTAGAGTTCTCATAGAAAACTTTTCTTTCACAAGTAGCTTGCATAAGAATTAACTTTATAGTTAACTATTGTCCTCTTGTACGTTTAAAAAGAAACCCACCAACAACATTTTTCCTTTCAGTACATTGCTGCGCTTGGCTGAACTTCTCTGGAATTTTAGCATTCCTCTGCTGGTCTGCAGGACTTACGGACTGGTTGGTTATATGAGAGTCGTTATTAAAGAACATACAGGTTAGGGGATTTTCTGAGATAAAGACTTTTCTACAGGGTTTAAAGCTTCAATATGTAATGTCACTTTGATTTTATTTTTTTTTAAATCTTCTGTCTTGCGATGTGGTTAGTATTTGTTAAGTCTTGTGTAGTTTGCAGTTCATCGCTAGGAGCATTCTTTGAGGAATGCGTAGAAATTGTGGACTGCAACAAATAGTAAAATTGGAGATTATCCTGACAATAAAGGTAATTTACTCAAAACACTGATTTTGAGAATCAAGCAGTTAAATGAGCAGATGATGCACTGTATTTGATGTATGGCTCTGTTTCGAAGGCCAGACGTAAAACTGTGAAATGCATTGTGTAATTTTTTTCACAGTTGTTGAATCTCATCCTGACAACACATTAGAAGATCTGAGACTGGACAAACAATTTCCAGAACTGAGGGAACACCTTCAGTCTTATGACTTGGATCATATGGATAAAAAGGTTGGTATGTGGCTTGCACTATGTGCTCTAATCAGATGCAGACATAGAACAGAGTTTCTATGAAAATGACTCTTGGCAGGTGACTTTTTTTGGTGTAGAATCTCATCTGAGCAGAGGCAACTGTAGAATCGGTCACAAGGTACTATTTTTGGCTGGTGCCCTAAATGTTACAGTCTGTATTTAAATCTTAGGCAAGCGACGATCTTGAAGTAAGGAATATTCTTGGACAACATGATCTTTTGTTAGAATCTGATTCTCCCTCACCACCCTTTTTTAATTGTTTTTATGGTTACCTACTGCTACAGAGCTTTGCAGTGTGAGTATTGGTGCATAACTTAAGTTTCATCCCAGAAAAATATTGGAGAACTTGGCTCAACCACCCTTCTTCTAAGTAAAGGAATAATTAATAATTTGTTTTATAGTAGTTAGAGAATGTTATTTCTGAATCAAAATCTGGAACATGTCCTGTGTTTTTACTGTAGTGGAGGGGATGTTAGTTTACATTTAAAATGGGTTTTTAATTTGTCTCCTGTTTTTATCTTTTCTCAACTTGACAAAGATTTCTCTGCTCCATTACAGGACCATAGCCACACTCCATGGATTGTGATTGTAGCCAAGTATCTGACAAAATGGTTCAACGAGGTATATTGCAAAACTGCACATCATCAGTCTATTACTGTTACTTTAGATATGTCTTTGTTAAACTAGATAATTATTTTGGCAATGCGTAACAAATAGAACAGGTGGAATAATAAAAAAAATTATTAACTGAAATACAAATGAATGTATGTGAACAGTGACAGACTGTAGTTCAGCAGTCCTAACACAGTGAGGTTAGTAGTAGGTATTGTAAAGACAAAATGTTTTTGTGTTTTTAAATTTAGAAAAGTGATCAGTTGCCTAAGAGCTACAAAGAAAAAGAAGCCTTCAGACAACTGATTCGGCAAGGTAATGTGTGTCCCAGGAGTCAATTATTCATACTGGTGGAAATACATAAGGCAATGTTTGAAAAATCATCACAAGTTCTCTTGGGGTTAATTTATGGAAGTCTGCTGGCATGTACAGTATGCTTCTTCTGCTAAATGACTGTTTTATGCAGGTGGATCTTAAGACCCCAGATTTGCTTATAAATGAACTTTGGCAGTGTTTCTTCTGTTTAAGATCAAGAGGATGTTTTGATTTGGGTGGGAGGAGAGGCCTTAAGAGAAAATACTGTAGAAAATGTTGATATTTAACACAGAAAAGAGGAAAGCGAGTGGCTTTTGACACTGAAATTGTTATTAATCGCAAGTACTTGGTTGTCACCAAACTGTTGGTAATCGTTGCAGCTCTAAATGACTGGGGGGGGGGAGGATTGTGTAGTTACTGAATACACTGTAACCAGTACGTGAACAGACTTCGCTTTTGCAGTGCTAGATTTAATGAGATGTTTTTAAGATCTAGAAATAAATTGTGTTAGATGATTGTAGGATAAAAACAGTATTTGAATTTTCAGTATTTCCCCATTTAAAGCTGGCTTCTCTGTAAATTGCTGGGCGGTTCTGTAATCCTTATCCTCAGGTTGGGGCTAGGGAACCGATCTGATCTGTAGTAATGACCTTTGGTTAAATTAGGTTTTTAGTGGAGTCCATTTCTTGGTCTGACTGGCTGTGTGGGTTCACAAATGTTTGCCAAATTTGACTAAAAAACCCCCAACAAAATAAGACTGATGATGGGAAGGAGAGTTGAATTGCCTTTTTACCACCATCTGCATTAGTTCAGTGATCATGAAACTTTACTCTTTTTCTTGCACAAATAAAATGGTATTTTTGTGATAAGTAACTTCTATTTAACATCACAGAAAAACTAATCATATGCAGAATATATACGTAGTTAGTTTTATCAATACGTCTTACCAGTAATCAATTTTTTGCTTAGTTACTGTGCCACAAATGCATCCAAAGCCAATCTGATCTGTTGGTAAGATCTAAATGACGAGATGTAATTCAGGGGATTGTATATTTAAATTTTTTTTTTCAATAAGGTATCTTAAAGAATGAAAATGGGACCCCAGAAGATGAGGAAAATTTTGAAGAAGCTATAAAAAATGTGAACACAGCATTAAATACTACAGAGGTAAAATAAACATCAATGTGACAAAATTGAAGAAATTTCAACTACCTCATTTTTTCAGAACTTATTACGCACTTTTAGGACAGAAAATCCATTTGCAACATTTATATTTAGGTAAAACAGGATTAGTACAATTTTTAAAATTGAAATTGTGTGGTAAAATAGACTTAGACTAGGTGGCACTGTAGCTTATGGAAATTCTTTTATTTCCTAGCTTATGCAAGGAAGCTACGTTTCTTTCCTCAAGACTTGAATTCAAGTATAGAATGAGTCAGTAACCAGAGTTCACTAGTAGCGTATTCTTGTCTTAAACTTTATGAGATTTTCTTTTACAGATGAAACTTTAAAGTGCTTGGTGCAATCACAAACAATTTAGCAGTTGCTGGTGTGGTTAGTGTCTGATTTGAATACATTGCTAGGAGAGAGAGACTCAGAAAGCATTTGTTGAAATGTACTATATTGAAGCTAATTGCTATAGTATATATTCTGTGTAGAAATGGAGTGCTGTAAGTGACCTTTGACAGCAAATTCAGTACTTTCTTCTTGAAAAAACATTATGAAATGCCTTTCATAAACTGATTAAGCTTAAAAACATTGAAAGTGAGGTTTTCATTGTTTTTAATTAATCCTGAAGTAGTTACTCATGGTTGAGAATTGATGTCTGATTTCCTTAATTTCTCATCCACGGTAAATTGCAGAAGCTACATGGGGTAAAAGCGTAGTCTGTGGTTCTTTCTAGATTACATTCCATGTATTTGAGCTCTGCTAATCCTTGCTTGGACAGTCACATTAAGTCTCCCTAGAAGGCAGCAGGTAAAGCTTAGTGCTGACATCTGTGTTGCTACAATCCTTGTCCCAGGGTATTAATGACCGACTTCGGTTGATATGGCAGACTGAACTGCAGTAGTTAAGGGGCCAAAACACTTTCACTTTTGCAGCCCCTCTTCACTTCCCTGGCCTTTTGCTGCTCTGCCTCCAGCAGGTAGGATAGGCAGCTGGGACTGGTAATACTTGTTGCTGATGATGCTACCAGTTTTTTAAAATCTTCCATGTAGAAGACAGAAATAAGGTGAGATTTTATTTGTAACGCTCATCTTGATCAGAAGCATGTGCCTTGTTCTGTGGCAATGCTGCTGTTAGGAATATCTGAGAAGCACTGACTACGTAAGATTCAGAAGAGATTTTGGTGTGTAACTCTGAGGTTGGTTAGAGCTGGCTCACCTAAGTATTGTTGAGTGTTGACATGATTCAAGAAATTAAAGTCAAGTAAATACAAAACCTAATTATTTTTTTTATAGATACCAAGATGCATTGAAGAGATTTTTAATGATGATTGCTGCATAAATCTCACAGAGCAGGTAATGAGTAATGAAGGGTAAGACTTAAATGTAGAAAAAGCATCATAAATAACATTTGTGTACATGACTGTCTCTTGTGCATTTGCAGTCGCCCTCTTTCTGGATTTTGGCTCGAGCTGTAAAGGAATTCGTGGCAAACGAGGGCCAAGGGAGCTTGCCTGTCCGGGGCACTATTCCTGATATGATAGCAGACTCCAGTAAATTTATCAAATTGCAAAATGTGTAAGTATATTGTACTGTTGAATTGTTCAAATAGGAAGGTAATGTTTTTAATGGATTTTGATTATTTCTCCATAGATTCTGAAATGTAATCTCTACTAGAGAAAAGATTGTGGTCCTTAATAGTGTTTACTAATCAAAATCTGTAGTTTTAGAGATTAATTCCTCAGAACTGTGACAAATAGAATTAAAAAGATGGATATAAAAACATAAATCTTTGATACGTCTAAAATAACTGATCGTTATTTCTTCATGGAAGTTACTCTGTATAATGACAGTAAAGCCAAGAACTTGTATCATTTTGCTAAATGAAACCATAATTGGTTGAATTTGCACAGATAGCCTAATTTGTAAATCTGAATTCTGTGTCAGTCATGAATTTACAAATCATTATGTAATTGACTTCTCAATTCCAATAAGCATTACAGAGTTTTAACTCACAGACAAAACAATTATACTTCCTTAAAATGAGCTCTTAAATTGAATTTTATTAAATGCTGAGTTGTTCAGATGTTTTCATTGTCATAGTTCTTAACAGAACAAATATTGGCTACAAATATTAAAATACAGAAATTAATAAAATATTAGAAGCCCAATGAAGGACATACAGTTGTTCTGAAACTACTTAATATTCTTCCTCTGGCTGTGGTGATACTCATTTTCATTTTAACCAGTTTCTAGAAAACAGTTAGACGTAGTTTTTAAGTGATACAGTCAACAGCTCAGCCTTGCCAGGCAGTCATGCACGGAGGTAAGAAGTGCATTCGTAGCTGTGAGGTAGCTCACTTGCATTCATGCAGCTAGTATTTTGTCTTTATAAAACTAAAAGAAACGGTCTTCACTGTGAAGTTGATGACTGTATCCTGTAATTAAGACTTCTTTACTATCAACAGGTACCGTGAGAAGGCAAAGAAGGATATTGCTGCTGTGGGTAACCATGCTGCTAAATTGTTACAATCCCTGGGCAAGGTAATTACAATGTACAGCCCTTCTGAAAGTATAGAAATACTTTTTCCCTGGTGTTCTATACAGAAATAAGGCAAAGGAGACAGATACCGAGAGAGAAGGCTTAATTACCTCATTCTCTTCAACAGACTTAAGTAAGTTCTAATGACATTTAGTATCTGTGGTCTGTTTTACTTATCGCTTTTGGTTTGGTCATATAAAAGGCATACAAGGGTGTATTATTTACAATTTAAGATACTTTTTTTTTTTTCCACAACAACTGCTTATTTCACAAGGAATATATAACTGTCTCTGAAAACATAAATTCCCTGGTCATTGTATGTACTGGAATGATTATATTCTCTCTTTTAGGCACCCGAGTCTATTTCAGAGAGAGAATTAAAACTGCTTTGTGAGTATGCTTGGATTGTGTTGCTGTGTTTGTGCAAATGATCAAATAATCAAAACCTTTTTAATGACAATGTAGTTATTAATCAGTAACTCAATATTTGAATTTTTCAAATAAATCCTTAGCAGTTGCGTTCTGCATCTTCAGTAGAAGTAACAGATGTTCAGCATCTCTCAATAGCGAGTCTATAATGATTGGCTTTTAAGAGATACGATATTTTTTCAGGTCAAAACAACAGGTAGCAGATGTCCTCTCCTTTCTGTGAGTCGTGCATAATCACGTTTGCCCATTCTGTGATACTGACTTCAGAGTGCAGGGTCTGTAAACGTTCCGTAGTCTGAAAAGGTAAAACAGGGATGCAGTGAGTAGTACTGTTCATAGTGTTCTAGGTTATGTCTGTTCTGGATGTGTGTACATGTCCACACAGCAGCCTGGCTGAGTCTCCTTGCAACTGGAAAATTTTCCTGTAAGCACGTAGCCAAGAGCATGCTGCCCCTGCGTTGATACATTGTTTGCTGGGAGTTTTGAGAACCTGGCAGTGCCTCATTTTTGAGTGCTAGGGAGTAGCTGCACGTGGGTTGTTTCATAGCAGTGATACTGGAGAGGAACCTTTCCGTGCTCGTAGCTGTGCTGTTAGAGTATTAATTGAGAATGCAGGAGACAGCGGCAGGTGCAGCAGGGATGAAAAGAACCCGTGTTCACTTGCAGCGTGGAAGAGGAGAACATGAAGTTGATGTCTGTGATTGATGAATTGCTGTAGGAGAGCTACATGTGTTGTGAGCTGTTCCGTTAACGTGGCAGATACATTTAGATTCTAGAAGTAAATAAGCACAAAGTATTTCACTAAAATACTTGTGATCATAGACCTAAATATAGTTTAATAGGTTTTATTACTGCAAGCTACTGGAATGAACAGAGAAGTGTTAAGTGAAATTATGCTAAGCCTTAGTCTTTCATGTTTAACACATCAGAGATACAGACTTACAAAGATTTAGTAATCATTGATGCATTCCAGTAGGTAACCCTCTCCTTTCTGCATCCTCTGCTTAGGTAGCAACTCGGCCTTTCTCCGGGTGGTACGATGTAGATCTCTGTCTGAAGAATATGGCTTAAACACTTTTAACAAGGATGAAATCAGTAAGTACTCCCTCTTGGCACATACTTTAATTGCATTTTCAACTTGAAACGGTTTTGAGATCTAAAAGAATTGTACGTTACATGTTTTATGTCATATAATTTGGCAACAACTAGAAGTATGGGGGTTTTTAAGTCTAGATTGTTGAATTCAGTTTGATTTTGAAAGTTAAAAAATGACCTTACGAATTGATAGATGTTTCAAGTTGTTTTTTTTTCTCCTGTGGATTTAATTTTTGATAGCACATAAATAAAACGTTGGTTTCCTCAACCTTCTCTTTTCTGTACCTCGGTTATTTCTGACAGAGCTGGAAAGGTGCTTTCTCTTGACCAAAGATATGAGAATGATTGTCTTGGCCCCTCTCAGGTTATCTTTTCAGTATGTGAACTAGCAAACTAGTTGCTTTATACTGCAGGTTATTTTTTTCAAACTTGCATAAATTAAAAACCCAAAACATGATGGAAATACTCTTAATCAAAGTTTGTTTAAATTAAGCTTGTACAAGTCCTCTGAATGTTTTGAACAAAATGGATATACAAAGTGTATACATTTTGTGTATACATACATTTTGTAATATTTTTAATTTAAGTGAAAGCTCCTTGCTTTAGTTGGTAATACGCAATATGATTTAAGTAGTAGTTAGTATTTAGAAAGACTACTGAGCTGTGTGTTAAGGGATTTGAGACCTGGTTTATAATTACAGTCATTACAGTTAAATACATGAAGCATATGTTTCAAATCCCAAAACTGTAACTAAGGAATATCCTATTTAATGTTATAGCAGCTGTCGGAGTTGAAACGTGAATATCTTCACTGAACAGTTGTATCAAATACGCACAGTATGGTTTTGTCATACACTCTGGAGTCAAAATCGTGTATCTGACAAGTTGACTCATTGAGATTCTCAGCTGCAGGTTGTTTTCATTAAGATCTCTCTTTACTGCAGATTTTACAGTTAAAGCACATGGGAAGTACTTGTTTTCAAGTAGTTGAAACCCTTTCTTATTCCATTTCATTCAGCTAACCAGTCCTCTTGCTGTTTTCAGTTTCCCATATGGATAACCCAGACAGTGAGCTAGTGCTGTACTTGATGCTGCGGGCTGTAGATCGGTTTTATAAGCAGCATGGTAGATATCCAGGTATGTTAATACTAGGGTTACTTAACGTAGTCAAAAGAAATGTAAAGATCCAGTAGTGACTATAATACTAGTTATAAACTACAAATAGAGCATTAACTGTGGTTTTGTTTCCAAAGTAATATAACTTTAAGAATGTGAGAATTTTTTCTGTTGGAGAACTTAAGGAATATTTCTGAATTAATAGCACCGTAATGGGTTGCATGGATTATGAATTGGTTCAGCTATGCAGTAATTTGTCATTATCATGAGTAGCATCAACAGAATATTCAATTATTACTAGTTTAGTATTAATAATTTGATATATTAATCGGCTTAGAAACTTTTCAGAAAAATAAAATACTTATGCTGCTGTTTAAACCCATTAACTTTGAATATAGTGTTACAGTTCTGTGATGAAACATTTAACTTATTTTCCAGGTGTCTATAACTATCAGGTAGAAGATGACATTGGAAAACTAAAATCATGCCTTACTGGTTTCTTACAAGAACATGGGTTGTCTGTAGTGGTGAAAGATGACTATGTTCATGAGTTGTAAGTATTAAATCTCAAGTGTCACTTTGTCAGTAAAACTGACCTGAAAATGCTAACTGTTCTGTTGCTATCCAGCTGTCGATATGGAGCTGCTGAGCCGCATGCTATTGCTGCCTTCATGGGAGGTAAGAATGTCACTGTATTTCTAAAATCCATGCAAACAAACCAGCATGCTGTAGCGCATACTGGAGTCAGAATCTTCACTGTTTTAATTACTTTGTATTGTCAGAGCAAAGACTGTGATCACAGACTGTAGTCAAAGATAGTATTAGAACAAAATCCTCCCCTTTCATTCTCCAGATGTGACCTCCTATGGTGTATAGAAAAAGTGGGCACAGCAAGGGTTTAAAGTCAGTAAAAGAAATTAAATAAACTTAAAAAATAATCTCACTAGATCAATTCTAGTAGCTTGAAAATGAAATACTTGAAAGAGGCTTTGAGTCTAAAAAAAAAAGAGGAAAGGAATAACTGTAGTAATATACCACAGTATGCATCTTCCTTTAATGCAATAAACTGGAGTGATATCTATTAAATATAAATAGTCTTGATTGTTTACTTTAATTCAACCTGTGGGTATTAGCAAAACTATGTTTTAATGGATACTCAAAATTGGTATATCAGTTAACAACTTTATTTGGCTTCATGCGGTGCTGAAGGTAATTGTGTATTAAATACTCTGTGGATGTAGGATTTTTTTTCTGATTAAGGGAAACTTGGTATGTGCAGTGCTTTAGAAAAATATGTAAAGATAACTTCTGAAGAAATTACAAAATATTTCATACTACAGGAGAACACAAAGGGATCACAGTGAAGTGACCCCTCAATTTATTTTACAGTTTAACTGTCAGCTCACACATTTTTACTCAGCGTGTGCATGTACATGGAGAGACAAAGCGCATACAGCGAAGTGTGTGTAAAGCTAACTTTTGAAGGAACATCTTTCTGAGCCTCTTTTATACTGGGAAGCACTGAAAGGCATTTTTTCCTCTTAGGAGTTGCATCAGCCACTTCTGAAAATTCCAGTGTAGTGTGTTCTAGATAAATAACATTCTTTTACTGGTTTTTAAATAAGACCCTGCTAACTACCTTCTGTTTTTTCTTTCTTTTTTAATTTTCTTTTATAGGAGCTGCTGCACAGGAGGTCATCAAAGTCATTACAGGACAGTTTGTAATTTTTAATAACACCTATATTTACAGTGGAATGTCGCAGACTTCAGCGACTTTCCAGGTGTAGGACGAGGATCTGGCAGTCGTTGCCGCCAGGCGCTGCTGCTGCGTTCTGTAAATACTGTGGCTTGCTGCCACTGGCTGGACTGCTCTGTGTTACCTGGGAATTAAAAGTTCCTTGATTTGTAATTATTTTATCTTTTTTTTTTTCCTGAGACAAATAAAGTCATACCCCATCCTGACATTTTTTTTGGATCTAGGGTGGAAGGGCTGTCCCGGTGCGGTGCCGCGCTCGCTGCCGCGGGGCGGGGCTGCGGGTGGCCCTGAGCGGGGCGGGAAGGGCGCGTGGCTGCGGGCGGTGCCTCGCTC